ACCCCGCCCTTCTTCCCTCTGGTCCATCCTCTTCCTGCGCCCAGCGGGAATTTCAGCTGCCCCAACCTGCTGCCTCCATCCCCAGAGGATTAACGAAGGAGAAGCAATTGCTGGGTTAGGAGCAGAGACCCAGGGGCTGCCAAAACTGGGCTCTGGGAAACGCGCTGGCAAACCCAGCACTAAAACCTTTTTTTTTTTTCTTAATTTTCTTTTTTTCCCCCCTCCATAACTTTTTATTTTTCCAGAAACCGGCCTTATTTGTGATTTCTACAACTTAAAAGGAGCATACCACTGGTGGGATTTTAAGAGAGGACCCCTAAGGGCTCTACCTAAATTTTATCGGAGCAGAAAGGAAAGTAAAATACATGGGAAAAAAAAAAAAAAAAAAAAAAAAAGGCGATACTCACTTGAGATTGAAATCAGCCCAAATTGATGTGTGCAGCAGAGACAAATATGGTACAAATCAGTTATAATAATCAAAAATCAGAACTAATTAAAAAAAATATTTAAAAAAAAAGGATGTAGTGGGGAGTAAACATATTTTCTCAGTATCTAGAGGAATGGAAAATCCAATGTGGGCACCGCTGCCAAGGGTGCCCGGGGCAGCGAGGGAGAGGAACTAAAAACATTTTATGGGTTGCAAAGTGGTTTAAGGTTTTTGGGGTGCAAAAGCCTCTTGGCTGCCTGGGGTTTGCTTGGGATGGGGGGGTTTGGAAAAGGGGGAGACCTCCCCGGAGCCTAAAGGCTTCGCCTCCCTCCTGTGTTAGGCCGCGGCGGCGGGTGCTGCCGGGCAGGTGCTGGCACACGCGGGTGGATGGAGGTCACGGTCCCCTTCGGGACCCGCCGGGCATCAGGCTTCGCCTTCCTGCAGGGTAAATTTGGGAGGGTTTTGGTCGGGAAAGGATTCCGTCGTCTCCGGCTGCTCCCCACTGCACGCAGGGCTTTCAAAACCCAGCGGGATCGGGGAGCTGATAAACAGAAACCGAGGGAAAATACAGAATGAAACCAAGTAAGTGCTATTGCCATGGCGGCAGGGAAGATCTCGCCTTGCAATGGCAGGTGCGTTGGGAACACGTGGTGTGGCGCGTCTTGGATGCTTTCATTTCTGGGGAGAGCTTCACCGTCACACCCCTCTGCCTCCTCCGGCTGCAGCTGGTAATTCCCCAAACCGTTAGCGTTTAGACTTTTTCAGTAAATTTCGCTTGTCTGAGAGCAGGTGGTCAGTGCCATGAGCCCAAAGCGTAGATCTCCACCCCCTTCCAGGTGGCCACGGGAACATCCGAGCGGCACAGTTCAGACCGGGGATCACCTGGTACGTCTATCCACGAGCAAAACCGGGGAAGTCGTCAAAAGACTGTCTGCTCGGAGCCCGATGGCCTCTCCTCTTTGAAAAGGAGTAAGAAAGAGGAGAAAAACAGTTCCAAGGAGGTTTCCACACCCCACTGGGACATCCCAGAGATACTGGAGAGGACAAAACCCCTCTGGTGTATATTTTCTGGAGAGCAAGGTTCCATTGGCAGTAGGCTGGAATTAATGATCTAAAATGTCTTTTTTTTTTTTCTTTTTTCTTCATATTTCCTTTTTGTCCATCCAGGTCTGGCTGCTCCAGGCTGAGGCCCCGGCTCTCCAGCGCCATCGCCGTGTTCTGGCAAGCACCGATGTGTTCATCCACCGGGGACAAGGATCTACTTTCCTCTTGCCCAAAATCACCCTCAGAGGAGGACGAGGTCTCTCCACTCCACTCTGACCAGGTAGCTGCCTCCTTCCATGTCCTTAGCCAACGATCCAGTGGGATTTATCCACAGCGGGAACCCCCCACCCTCTTCATCTTCCCCATCTGGCACCGAAAAAGATGTGTACTCACCTGGGTCGGGAGCGACGCACTCGCACTTGTACATGGTCACGTAGTCTGGCTTGAAGTCCGAATTGATGGGATAGTACTTAAAGGCTCCGATCATCTTCTTGATGGCATCGTAGATGAAGATGAAGCTGATGAGGGTGGAGAAGCCTTCCTCTGTGAAGCGCGTGATGTACTTTATAATGAAGCTGGCATCAGTGGCCACCAGGATAAGGCACTGTACGGCAGAGTGCAAGCCGATCCAGAGGCGAAACTCCATGTAGTCGATGCCGTTGCCTCTGAAAGCGGGGACAAGGTGAGAGCGGCCCTGTGAGAGCAGGCCGGGGGCCGGGGGGCAGCTCCCAACCTGGTATGGCGGGGTCCCGGCTCCCCCCGGTATCGCCCAACACCTACTTGCTGAAGTCAAAGAGCAGCTTCTCGAAGATGAGGATGGGGCCGGTGCTGCTGAGGATGATGAGCGGCTGCCCAGCAAAGAGGCAAAACATGGAGCCTGCCATGGCCGTGCCGAGGAAGCTCTCCATGACGCCCTGGGGATGGATCAAACCCACCATTATGGTGCTGTCGTGCCACATTACATCCCCACGGACACCCCAGATGGAGATGGGCATTAAGGACGCCTGCTTGGACCCGTATAGGATGGTCGGGACCATGTCCCCTTGCTCCTGGCATCACCACTGAGATGGGATTTCCCATCCTCTAGGTACTTCAGGACTGCCAGTTCTGCTAGGCAATGAATTTCCACCCCAGCACAAGGTGGGCAAAGCCCATCCCATCCCACCCCATCCCATCCCATCCCACCCCATCCTCTCCCATCC